TACGGTACGTTGGTAAAATTGGCAGCGTCTTGTCACCCTGAACTTGACGTCGCTGTCAGAGTTTGTTGCGTGCTTCTTGCAGTGATCCCTTCCTGTTGCTTTATGCACGAGCCTGACAAGTGTGAGAGGGCTAATGGTACCATTACCATAGCTAAGTTTGTTTTGGTTAGTTGCCTGTACTATTACTAGGCAAAGTTGTTTACCTGCATGTTCTGTTACGTCTCTCCATCCCGGCTTCCTGATTCTGGGTAGCTTTTCCTTGCCGTGGATTGTTGTGCGTGATGACAGATTAACAGTCATCCGACCAAACGCAACAGTGAACGACGTCGTTGGTGACAGGTTGCTTTGCGTGCGCTAGTTTCTGACTTGGACAATGGAATTGTTTACCTGCATGTTCTGTTACGTAACACCATCCCGGCTACTATTCTGGTACAACCTCCGTAGCCTTTCTCGTGATGACAGATTAAGTCCATGTATTTATAAAAATTTTGCAAAATTTTTCACATTCTCTCAAGCTGATTCCGGTAATTTAAAATAAAAAAATAAAACTTTACCAGTGCTGACAATAAACAAATCCCCCAATTTCTCCGTGCTTTAACTGCTTATGCAACACTCGTCAATGTCTGAACTCTGAACCGGTCGTGCAAAAATATATGCATCTAAATTGCCTAACAGTCATCGACCAAATTAGAAAGTGAACGACGTCGTTGGTGACACCGTGCGCTAACCGGCTAACACCACACCACTACTACTAGTACAACCTCGTAGCCTTTCTCATAGAAGCAAGTATGTATGTATATGTACACAAAAGCTCTAAGCTGATTCCGGCAATTTAATTTGCCAGTGCGACAGTTTACTCCCCAAAACCTCCAAATGACCCCTTTTCCACTCGTCAATGTCTGAACTCTGAACCGGTCGTGCAGGTATATATGCAATTGGGATTGCCTCCGTCACGGAAATTAGAAAGAACGGGCAGGAGGCCGGCTGGGCGCATCTACTACTCGATCGCGCGAGACTCGAACAAACCTGAATCTTGACCCCAACTTTGGGTCCGTACTGGGTTGGGTCGTTTTAACTGGACAGGCTCAGACCGACCGGGAGGAGGATGCGACCGCGTCTGATCGCGCGAGAGAGAGGAATTGGGAACAACTTTTTTTATTCTTGGGTCGAGAACAGAGACAGAACGGACAGCGACCGCGTCTGTAGCGAGGAAGGAAAGAACTCCAACGCGTCGCGAGTCGCGACACCGACGTTCACACGGAACGAACAACAAAACGGAGGAAACAAACGAAGCCAGATGAAATCAAAACCGAAGCAGCTAGTAGCTCGGCAGGCAGGAAACGGGACAGTTTTCTGGTCTCCTGCGGCCTGGACTAGCCAGCATGGCACCATTCATGTGACAGATGCCCTGGTTTAAGAAGACGGCGTGTCATGAGTCGTGACAGGCGGGGGCGATCAGTAGAACATTGCCGCGTACGCGTGGGGCGTGCCCCGAACAGAAACGTTCTTGGGTTCTTCCCGTCGCGTGTACCCTTGGTTGGTCTGCTTGGACCAGGAAAACGAAACGAAGGGGTGGTGGACTCGCGCCGGGGCCATCCTGGAACTGGAACAGGAACGGATGGCGCTGGTCGCGTGGCACCAGTGCAAGCTATTGACTGCTTCCAATTATGTGCCGCGTGCGCTGCAAGTCCTCGTGCGTGCGTGTGCTCGATTCGCGCGTCCACGAATTTTTGTGAACGAAGAATATTATACTGTGCATACTTGCGCGCCAAGAGAAAGACGTCCAGTTTATTTGGCTTATAAGCTATTTTTTCAGTCAACGAATAATATTTTTCTCTCGTAATAAATCAACCAACAATACTTTCAGCCATAACTTATCGCCCAAGCGAACCAGACAAGAGTTCGTCGCTGGAGAGGGAGGGAAGGAATTGTTTAGCCTTTTTCTTTGCTTCCTGCTAATCAGCCAAAGTTTTTGGATTTGGTAACGGTTTACGTATCCGATTCGCTGGTTCTGGGTGGCTAGTTGCCTTGTGCAGAGGGGCCTTCAGAGTTCAGAATATGCTACTAGCACCGAGCACCACACCCACCGACACCGTTCGGCGTTCGTCAGCGTGCTTCGTAGTGGCAGCCGGGTAGGGGCCACGAGTCGCGACGGGTAGAGTAGCAGTGACATCCGCATGGCGTCATCCCCAGGCGAGGGCCACGCCAGTTTTCTGACGGGTTACGAGCCTACGACTACCAGGCCAGCGGCGTCGGAGCACGTAGTACTAGTACTACCGGTCTACCGTTCCAGTTCATGCGGCGCGCGATCCAACCGGCAGCGGACACGCGAGACCGGCTGGCTCGTCACACGTGTCGCCTAGGCGCCCACGCGGGCCGCCGCCGGAAGCACGGCGGTGCGCCGGGACTCGGCCGGCGGTCATGGGGCGGGAACGGTAAAAGTCTCGTCTCTGACGTCGCTGCCGCGGCCTAAGCCTACGCGGTCAAGCACCGAAGCAGCCAAGTCGCGTACAGCGACGGCCACGCGCCGGCGTACGTACACACACCGCGCGCTTTCCTTCCGCTTTTCTGAGCGTGCGACCGAGGCCAGCCTTCCGCCTTCGCATCTCGTCGTCAGCTGTCCCGAGAGCGACGTGTGGCGCCGCTGGCCGCCTGGCCCCCTACGGTTTGGACCGGTAGTCTGAGTGCTCGACTCATCTGATCCCCACCGGCGGCACGGAGACGCAGCTCGCGATGCAAAGGCAGCGGGGGCAGCGTGTGCCTGTCGAGTTTGAAGCGGTCCCGCGACGCGGTGCGCGGCGGCGGCGGCGGCGGCGACGACGATCAGATCGCGTTCGCGACTCGCTTAGGGGGTGGGTGTCCGGATCTAGCGATTAAAATTTAGGATATATCATATAAGGGTGTCGGTGTTCGGATACTAATAAAAAATAAATTACGTAATCCGTCGATCTTAAAAAAACAATTTATTAAGAATCCAATCGATCCGTCATTAGCATATGTTTATTGTAAGCACATTAATCCGTCATTAGCTAATGTTTAAAAGTTTCGCCTCTGTAAAAATAGTCGGAAACTATGCAATTAGTTTCGTAATTAGTTTATATTTAATACTCTAAAAGATGCGTAAAAACATCCGATGAGGCAAAAACTAAAAAGTATAAGCCCTTGTTTAGTTAGTTTCATTCCATTAATTTATATTTAATCGTGATATGTTTGCGGCTTGTGCATAAAATATCCGATGTGAGCGAAAAAAAAAACTAACTAAAATATAAGAAACCAAACACCCCCTTCCTCGCGTCCTGGTTCTGACGGCGTCTTCAATGGCCAACGGCTCAAATTTTACAACTAACTGCGTCCTGGTTCTGACGGCAGCCTAACGGCTACTTTCTAACTGCGCGTGGCAGCAGCAGCAGGTGAACTTCCGGATGGTCATTTGGGATTTGGTATCTGCACTGCATGCTTATGGGCTTGTTAAGACGGTCTCCAACAAGTGATTTATATAGACACCTAAACCCAAAATAAATAGTAAAAAACTCAAAATTAGCCTCGAGTACCTATATGGGGATCTATTTTGGGTTACCTAAGAGACACAACCCAAATGCACAACCTAAATATATCTTTTTTCCTGAAAACTTATTTGCAGAAAGAATTCTCTTTTGGGTCCTGTTGTTAGAGAAGATGCCGAATATGTATTAAACCATTTGCCTGTAGCGCTACCCAAAGAACGAATGGGTATTGTATTTTGGGTGTTGTTGTCGGAGATAGCCTAATAGGTCTTCCACTCAAGTATGATTTTCAGACAAAACTAGTTGTTTGGCTATCTATAGAGCCTTTACCTACATCTATTGGTACCTCTGTTTTTGAATAAATCAATTCTATTATTATTTGTATTAATGTTTATTATGATTAACAAAATTTATAGGAAAAGAACATCAATATTTATGACAAAATTAGCATAGTAAGATACATCATAAACTAAATATGTGTGCTCTTTTTTATAATTTTGAATTTGGATCAAATATAAAAAAATTAAATTAACGCAAGTCTAAAAAAATGGTTTATCTGAAGAACGCAGAGCTTACAAAAGTAGCAACGAATTTGGCGAGGAGAATGTCACGTATCGTGTCCAAAGTACGTTGGCACACAACCCGGCTTTTTGCGTCCAGGACCATCGACCGTCATGCCTCATGCCGTCATGCGAGGCTGCCGCCACAGCCCACAGGCAAGAGCCCAAGGCCACAGCCGTGGCATCGAGTCGCGTTCGGGCGTTCGGCCTAGGCTTGGGAACGGACCGAAGCCCCAACTCAGGCCTACACAATTTCTTTGAGAAAAGCCCACTCACAACTGTTGGGCTTCCAAAGTGTGGAAGCTGTTCCAGACTCCGAGGCCCGAGCAGCGACCCCAACTGAACTGCCGCATGTTCCGAAAAAAAAAAAACTAAACTAAACTGGCGCATCCTCCATAAATAAATGCCACAGTGCAACTAGCAGAAAAATCATAAGATTGGTTCCAACTAAAACGCTTAGTGGCAATCGTCAGGAGAGATTTAGATTTTGATAGTTGCATGCACGATAATCTGAGTTACACTGTCTGATGCATGCACCACGTTTGGTAGAAAAAATTAATCCAGCAGTAGAGGTGTAATGACGCACTGTATGATTGGTAGAAACTGATCAAGCAATCACCGTAAAGCTAAGAGTGGGCAGGTCGCCAGGTCTAGACGTTAGACGTGAGCAAATTTATAATCTCCAGCTTCGGTTTTCTTGGACCGAATCAATTGCAGACGATATTAGCTTCAAAAAGAAGCCAGCCAGCAGCAGTTAAAACTGAATTGTAGAAATGAAAAAAAAAGCAAAACAAAGAAGCTGATCCTCCTGACAACGCATCTCTACACATGTTCATTTGCCAACAAAAAATTTCCAGCAATGTCTGAGGCCTTCATCAATGTTTATTTCTCCTGGCTATCATATCATATTACGAGGGCTGCCCATCATGCTGCCAACCTATGGAAGGGAAGCTCTCAACTCCTTCCTGTCTGGCCCAAATGACTGCACAATCAGCGAGCCAGGTCAGAACTAGCACACATGCCCATATAATCAAAATGCACAATTTGTAGTTGCAGTATATTAGATGATGACATCACAAATGAAGCAAAACCACCCGTTCCTGCACTTGTTACGCGAGATTATTGTAAAACAAGGAAATAAAAACTACCATTACAATGGGACTACAGTACACTTTCTGGCCATAGAAACTTAACTTGGGCATACCTTTACAACAACAACAACAACAACAACAACAACAACAAAGTCTTTAAGTCCCAAACAAGTTGGGGTAGGCTAGAGTTGAAACCCATCAGAAGTAATCAAGGTTCAGGCACGTGAATAGCTGTCTTCCAAGCACTCCTATCTAAGGCTAAGGCCCTGTTTGGTTGAGCTGTGGCTGTGGAAAAAAGCTATTGTGGGCTGTGAGCTGTGGAAAAGCTGCTGTGGGCTGTGAGCTATAGAAAAGCTTTGAAAAGCTGTGGAAACAACTATGAAAGAGCTTTTTTATTCCACCAATTTGAAAAGCGTAAAAAAGCCAAAAGCGAGGTCAACCCACTTTAAAAAAATGAACTACTGAAAAGCAATTGCTTAGAAAAAGCACCATCCAAAAAACAGCCCCTTTGGTTGGCTTTTGGTTTTTGGGTCAAAATAAAATAATCAAACAGGCCTAAGTCTTTATATATTATCCTTTCAAAGATTTGGCTATTAAACAAATTCGGCTATTAAAAGCTTTCAAAGATTTATAATGGAAATATTAAGCACTTTCATAGCAACACTGCAATCAAAACTAATGACTAAAGTTGTGATTCAAGACTATGCCAATGTCAGGAACAGAAGTGTTTGTGACCCAGACGTACTTCCAAAAGAGACATACTCTAAGAAAAAAAAAGAGGTACTGTAAGTCATGGAAACTACCATCTGAATAGTTGAACATATGTACTACAGGCTGGAGAAGTTCAACTCCTTAAAACAACCCAATCTACTAGTGCCAAGATATCAGAAATGAAACTAATGTTTTTTTTTTTTTTTGAAACGATGGCAGGAGCTCGCCTTTCAATTAAGCTGAAGTTTATATACAAGCAAAAACACCATCCAAAACAAAGCCCCCCACGCAACGCCGACAGTAGTTACCATGGTCATCGTTCTTTTATAGTTGCAGGCTTTTGGATGGCAAAAGCGACAACAAAGTCAAAAGCCTAATCAAATCAGCAGGGCTATAAGTCTTTGGGTATATTCCATCCTTTCAAAGATTTGGCTATTAAACAAATTCGGCTATTAAAAGCTTTCAAAGATTTATAATGGAAATATTAAGCACTTTCATAGCACATCGTCGAGCCAAGATCATAAAAGCTTCTCGGAGGGGCATCGATCGCCGTGCAATCACCCCCTCCGAAACATGCTAATGACTAAAGTTGTGATTCAAGACTATGCCAATGTCAGGAACAGAAGTGTTTGTGACCCAGACGTACTTCCAAAAGAGACATACTCTAAGAAAAAAAAAGAGGTACTGTAAGTCATGGAAACTACCATCTGAATAGTTGAACATATGTACTACAGGCTGGAGAAGTTCAACTCCTTATAAACAACCCAATCTACTAGTGCCAAGATATCAGAAATGAAACTAATGTCACTTTGCATAATTAAGAGAATGCAACTAATTTCAGGCCGAGAAATGAAAGTTGGGTGTCATAGCCTGCTCCAACTTGCTTGGGACAAAAATTCGATGTTGCAAATGCAAGCAAGGTGTTATGCACTTCAGCTAAGATAATTCTGACAACTTACCTCCACGCCGAAGCCCTTCTTATAAACATTTGTGAAGAGCTCAGAAGTATCAGGCATAGAACTTTCCTGCAGATCAACAGGAGCAATATGAAGTGGTAAGCATAACTAATTTGAAGCAAAAGAACTAAAAAAGCATATCTAAATGCAATGAGACCTTTGCTTTAGCAATGGCGTCATCTACTTGTTTCCTGATTTCTTTCTCCATATCCTGAGAAGATAATAAGCGTGTCAAACACTAGAATATGAACTGAAAGAAATAATATTTTGATAACAATTGCCCTTATAAACATTCTTTATGCTTCAATTATACATTTATATACTCTTCATGTATTTCCAAAAGAATCCTGTACCTTGAGCTCAGCAGCAGTTGCCAGGTCGTGAGTAAAAAGCAATTTTCTAACCCTTTCAATTGGGTCCCGTTCCTGATGATATTGTAACACAATTAATTGAAACACTCAAAGCATGACTTAAGTTTCAAACTGAAAGATTAAAACAACCTTACCTGCCTGACACCTGAAATCTCATCCCTGGTGCGGTAAGTGCTTCCTGGATCTGACATAGAGTGGCCATGGTACCTGTAGGTATCCATCTCAAGGACCTAGATACATAGAACGTGAGGGTTTAGTAACCATTATGCACATGAAATAAAATAATTATGAACCAACAAATAAAGCAAACAAGTTATCAGAAATAACACTTGAGCATATGCACTTATGTTCAACCACCCAATGTACCTTTGGTAACAAATAGCAGCAGCAGCACATTTTAAGTTACTAAGTTGGTATAAGAGTTAAATACACCGGCGGCCCTTAAACTTGTAGCTCTGTACCACTTAGGTCTACGAAGTCTCAAAATCGAAATTTAACTCCCTTTACTTGTTAAGTCGTGCACTGCAGGTCCATACCCCTTCATGTGGCTGCTGACTAGGATAAAAATTTATGCAAAACACCTCCAGCAATGCCCAGCTTATCCTCCGAGCCCCGGACTCCCGGTTCACCTGCTCCAGCTGTGACGTGATCTCCTGCGCGTCAAAGGGGCTCTGGCACTTCTCCACGAACACACGCAGGGCGCTCACAGCGTCAGCCACGCAGTCGTCGTATGCCGGCATGTTGGTCACCCTGGCCAGCGCATACGCCACGGAGCGGAGGCAGTCCTTGTACAGCGCCGTGCAACTCATCACCAGGCGGTCCGCCGGCGACCCAGCATCCCTCACGCCCCGTAGCTAAGGTTGAACGCGTGCAGCCTCGCCGATCTCCTAGCGGCAGTCAGCGCGACGATGGTGAGCTCCCGGATCGTCGTGGCGCGCTGCGATTCCGGTTGCTGGACTCTCGAGTAGGGAGACTCATAAGCGCTGGTTGGACGTCCTGCCGCAGGTCTGGGCGACCAAGGACGTTATTCGATGCTCATTATTCGAGTGAAAATTTTCATGATGGAAAACCTGTTAGTTTTAGTAGATGAATGATCAGTCTCTGGAGAAGGCGGAGGCCGGCATCATACGCGCCAAGCTGGACGCGGACTCCACGTGGCCGTGCACCGCGCCGGCGTACGAGGTGGCCTCCGGCCCATCCAGTCGCACCTATCCTACGAGGTGGCGGCGTCGTTCGGCGCGAGGCCGCTGCACAGCAGGCGCGAGGCCGCTGCACAGCAGGCGCGTCAGGGCAGGCTGTACAACTCGGGCGTGGCCACGGACATGGCCGCCTCAACGGTGACGGCAGTGGTGGCAGCCAAGGACGAGGCGTGGCAGGAGGCGGCCCGCGACCTACTGTCGCCGTTGTCGTCGCCGTGCGAGTGGTTCTTCTGCGATGAGGCGGACGCGCGGACCCGGTGCCTCGACATCCAAGGCTCCGACTCGCTGGCGTCGTCGCATGCCAACCTCCTGTTCGAGCCCACCGAGTTCGAGGGCCCCGGGGGTGCTGGTGCACCGGGCATATCTAGGAGGCGGCCAAGGGCATCTGGCGAGCGGTGTGATGGAGATCGAGGCTCACGGGCCACTCACTCGGCGGCAGCTCTCGCGGTGCTCGTCGGCCGATGATCTTCTTTGGGCGCGCGCGGCGTGGTGGACGGCCGCGGGTGTCACGTTCGGGCGCCCTCCATGTTCTCCGGCGGAGCCGCGTCTGGCGTCGCGAGGCGCACGTCGATCCGTGGCCATGCACCGCGACGTGCTGCAGAGGCCTTCTCGTCGCATACGGAGCCCACGCCATCGCTGCTACCTCAATGGCGTGCTCGCGTCCGCGACTCACCGTGCCTCAACACGCACACAAGGTGTTGTACACGCCCATGGCGCGCGATACACATCCTGCAGCCCGACAGCGGCTTGTCGCCACAAGACCGTTCCTCCCGAGGGCGCGGCGTTATTCCTACCGACTCGGAGGATAAGCTGGGAATTGCTGGAGGTGTTTTTTATAAATTTTATCCTAGTCAGCACCCACATGAAGGGGTATGGACCTGCAGTGCACGACTTAACAAGTTTAGGGAGTTAGATTTCGATTTTGAGAGTTCGTGGACCTAAGTGGCACAGAGCCACAAGTTTAAGGGCCGCCTGTGTATTTAACTCTTAGCATAACAAGGTGTTCCTCTAGTACCAAGGCAGACCAGTGCTAAGCAGGCTAGGCAGGACAAAACACCTAGGATGTGCCACGGCGGGTTGTGGACTATACGGATGTCTAGGGCAACAAACACAAAGCACTAGCATATGATTCAATCATGCATCGACCGTATACTTAGCGTCATCGTATAGTTATTTTCATATTTCACAAGTGAACAAGGATCAATAACAGTAGCTGACAGCTCAATTGTACAGCTGCTTTAATCAGAAAACGTACCATTCTTTAGCAGACAGCCTACACAAAATGTTATTTTAGTTGCACCACCTCTTTTTTTTTAAAAAGAAAGAAATGCTATTCTAATCCTACAATGCCCCTGTTTGTGACTGCATTTCTCGCGGCGGCGGCCGAAAGAAGTGAAGAATCCCGTTAAAACATTTGTGGTGTCTGTGATTCTTCTGACCGCACAAGAGACTACGACCGCAAGATTGAACTGCACTGCAGATTCCTGATACCGCGGCCATGGAGCCACAGTTCGGCGACCCGCACCGCGCGGCCACAGACTGCGCGGTCCCAAACAGGGCCAATGTTGGATCTAGCAGACAAATAATATATGCAGCCATGTAGGTAGTTCAACAATTAGTGCCACTATTGAAGACTTAATTAGCTGGAATAATGCTAACAAATTGTGTAAGTTTTCGACAATGGAAGTTCCATACATTAGAATTATATATTATGTTTCCCCAGCATAAAATGGTGAGTGCAGTGCTACTATGTTAAATTTCATGCGAATTTAACTACTAAATCTAGCAAACATCAAAACAGCCAAGCCAACCCCAAACCCAAACCCAAATAGTAGTTCTCCAAAATCAGGTGCATCCAAATAACAGAAGTCAGCAAAGAAGCATAGTACTCACAATTGGGCCATTTGCAACAGCATGATCTTTTGCAAATTTGCACGCTTGCTTCACAGCAAGAACATCCATTCCATCAACCTGCATGAAATACAATTTATTTATATTTGTAGCAAACACTAAAAGTAATGCCAACAGGAAATCCAAGCTTAAGCTATTCCCTTAACACTCAATAAGGAGGAACAGGATGGTTCGAGAATGCATACATCATTCTTATATAATTGCAAATCAATACAAGATGCTTTTTCCACTCAACTACATGCCATCCTCACTCAACTGTATGGCTATACTTTGATGATCAATGAAGCCCTATTCAGCAACTAAAGGGTGCAACACAGAGAACCTAGAGTCCAAGACCCCATATAAAACCACCCTATACAATCAAAGATATCACAAACATAATAAACAATCAAACATACCACAAACAGAAACCAAATTTATCATACCAGCCAGCTATCGTGAATCCAGACACAATACGAGCAAACCCAAAGAATAATTACCTTCAATCCAGGCACATAGTCGCCACGCTTGTAGTAGTCAGGGCTCTTCGCTGCCCTCCACTCCGCTGTTCCCATCCCATCTATACAACAGAAATCAAACCCAGATCACGTCATATTTCTTACGATGAACAATCAGATTTATCACGATCTAACCCCGATTCCCGGAATTGATGCACGAACTCACAATGGTTGTTCTCGCAGACCAATATGGCAGGCAGTTTCCAGAGGGCCGAAATGTTGAGAGCCTCAAAGAGCTGTCCCTGGTTAGCCGCACCGTCACCATAGAGCGCGAACGTGGCCGTGTCCTCCTTCTTGTACTTTTGAGCGAAGGCGAGGCCGCATCCGAGGGGCACCTGCGCGCCGACGATGCCGTGCCCGCCGTAGAAATTGGCATCCTTCTTATAGAAATGCATGGATCCGCCCTTCCCGCGGGAGCAGCCGGCCTCGCGGCCCATCAGCTCGGAGAAGGCGGAGACGAGGTCCCCTCCGCGGGCGAGGTAGGTGCAGTGGTCGCGGTAGGCGGTGATGATGGAATCGGAGCGGGTGATGGCGGCCTCCATGCCGACGGCGACGGCCTCCTGGCCGTCGTAGAGGTGGCAGAACCCGCGGATGAGCTTGGCCTTGTAGAGGGAGTCGGCGGCGATCTCCATGCGGCGCATGAGGGACATGTCGCGGAAGAAGGTGACGAGCTCGGCGGGGGTGGTGGTGACATCGCGCGATGGCGGGTCGACGAGGTGGGAGGTGAAAGGGACAGAAGTCTTGATGGTGAGCGCCGCCGTGGAATCGGAGATCGGGCGCGCCGCCATGAAGGCCGTGGCCGGGGCCCGCGCGGCGGGGATGCGGCGAAGGAGGGCGGCCGCGGCCATGGCGACGATCCGCTAGGGTTTCGGGGTGGATGCGGGGCGGTGGGCGTGGGGACGGAGGGGAGGAAGGAAGGAAGAAGATAAAGGCGAGACTTTTATTCGCGTAGTTGTTTGGCCTGCCGCCGCCGAGCTTGGCAGGCTGGCGGCGCAGACCGTGTACATATATTATAGTAATATATTTAGAATTAAATTTATTTTAATAATTATAATTTAGATATAGATTAATTAAATTAATATAGTCATATATAAAATATATTTATATATTTATTGTTAGACATGTAAAAAATATTTATATGTTATATTTTTATTGTAGAGAGATGAGTTAAAGAATGTGCTATAAGAGCAACTCCAACGAAAACATCCAAATCAAAACCTATGCTTTTTAATTTGGGTGCTCCGTCCTATTTTTGTTGGCTCAAATTTTTTCTTCTAACTCCAACAGCCGCCTTATTTTTGTTAGCTCAATTTTTTTCTTCTAACTCCAACAGCCGCCTCTAAACTTGAGGCCCCAAATCTGTTTTGGTAAAGAATGACAGGCGGGACCCACTCGTCAGGCTCTTTCTTTACGGGCTTCGGGGCTCCTCCGTGAGGCCACGCTGCCGAGGCCTCCAGATGGCCTCGCCGCCGTGCTGCAGGGCCGCCTCCGAACCGCATCGGAGTCGAGGTCGGGGCCGCTCGCGCATTGGCGCAGCGCGCCCGTGCGACGAAAGGACGGGGCCGCTCCCGCGTGCCCACACGGCGGGCAGCCGGAGCTCGTTGCCGCGCGGGCGGAGGGGATGGCGCCGCCGGAGCTCGCTACCGCGTGGCCGAAGGGGAGGGCGCCGCCGGAGCTCGCTGCCGCATGACCGGAGGGGAGGGCGCCGTCGTAGCTCGTTGTCGCACTGGGAGCTCGTCCTCTATGCGGCTGCTCGCCGGAGGGGAGGATGGGCGCGCTCGCCGGAGGAGCGACCGTTTTATGAATCTGAGATAGGCTTGTGAGACTGAGAAAGTCATGAAACGTCAAATTTCAATCTAAATAGTCTAATTCATTATGTAGATTTCAATTTCTCTAAATTGAAATGATCCAAACGGTATGGTTAAATAAATGACAGAAGACAATTGATAACAGGATTTTATTTGAAGAAAGAACAAGTGCATCTGATTGACCTTTTAATATCAAATTTAGTGTGGTATCTGATATCCACAAGTTTTCTCGATTATAAAATAAAACATTGCCTGGTTGGCAGAATTATGTTTGAAGCAAGACAATGTACCTGTTTCCATCTTTTCACTCATGGAAACTAGTAGTGTATGGAAAATTACATTCAGAATTAGTTACTGCATCTGCAAGTAGATTAGAACTTTCTTATTTGCACAAAGATCTGAGGCCCAAACCAAATCAATTTGGTAACAAGTTGTAGCCAAGAGAACAGCTCTGTAGTTGAGATGCTCTCCATAATCCAAGCAAAAATCATGAATGGTTGGTGGATATAGTGTTCCTGTCGATGACGTTGGGGGAATATTTGATTAAAATTATTATTAGGTAGACAAACCAAATGACAAGTAGACAACTAAACATCTTTATTTAAAACAACCCAAGCAATGGCGTGGAGCCAAACACCTGGAACAATGTCTCAATCAACCATCCTTTTCAAGCGTTGTATAGCGCTCGGTGGGTCAAAGCATCCTAGCGCATGCTAGTGGAGTACTATTTTGGTCAGATCCATTTACTCAAAATAACAGAGCTTTTCTTTTTTGCATGAAATGAACTGGTCACTATCAATTGCTTTCAGGCCCCAGAAACTGTGATCCCAATATTTTGGTTGTGTGGGCTGTCCTTACATCATCTGGATACAATTGAGGCAAGACGATTGGGCTGTCTTTGCATAATCTGAATACAGCCATACAGGCCAGGCCTGGAGACTTTCTAGCGTCTGAATTGTAGCAAGAATTATGATCACAACAAAAATGAAAGAATGAATAACATGTGTGATTGTATCTGAATTGTAATTTGAATACAATTTTTTTTTTGTCGTGATAGACATGTGCAAGATATACTCCATCATTATGAGAAGTCTCATCAGCATGGCCGGTGACAGACAGAAAGTTTTAGAACCCACATAGGTAAGCACATGAACAACAACAATTAACAGTAAAGAACCCACAGGTGAGATGATAATGATGTTTCTATTAAAGAGATTGGGAAACAGCTCGCACCCCTAGGGTATCTCTCTAATAGTTCCACTATAGTTTTCCACCTGAAATAGCCTAAAGAGATCCTGCATTGAGTAAATACAATGAACCCTAGGCCCAGTCATGTCTTTGTTTCCTCCCCTTTTAACAGATTGTACAGGTAAAATACACAAGTGTGCACTAAGAACTGCAATGCTTGACCCTATAATTTGCCTACAAAAAATGGTTAACAGAATGGCCAAAGTGTTGTTGCATGATGTTGCTGCCTTGAGCAAATTCAGAATACCATGTCTTCCACGCTTCGACATAATGGGCAAAAAGATCACTGAGTGCTGCATTCAGAAAAGAGGGAATGCTTTAGTGTAACATAGTATAGGTGAACACATTCTATATCTAGCAATTATTCCAGTCCTACTTCAAGCTCCCAATAAAAGAGTTTGCATAGACGTGATAATAAATGTCAAATGGTCATAATGAACTATTGGGCATTGGCTAGCGTCCTGCATAATAGCTTATAAAAATCAACAAATCTCATATTAACTTCTAACAAATAGAAGATAATGACGTTACGCTAGAGATGTGTTGCAGTGTTCCTGAGGTCATATTTCATTTTAAGACATTCTAGCAGATTGCAACAGGGGCTGCCAAAGCTATAATGAAGAAACAGGATGGGCAGAGAGATTCCATCTGAAGACAATCGGATGCCACTATTAGCTTAAGCCTAATTATATAAAACTACAGCTAGAGAGACACACGCTATACACATACTTCTGATGCTTAAGAGTTAAGAAGTTGAAAAATTCTAGCATTGTCCTAATAAGAAACAAAACAGGATTAAAGTATTGAACCCACCTTGGTTCTGGTACTGTGGTCGAAATGAAGCAGAAAGGCTCTCCCAGTCCTGAGCCCTCTCCCTTTGCCCAGGTTTATTGCCGCCATCAAGTTCATGTTTCCTTGCACCAGCAGGGTGGAAGGGACCATAGACAAAGCCACTTTGTTTACCCTGCCCAAGCTGACTCCGCACAGCTAATTTGCAATTTGTCAAGACATCACCACCACTCTGTGCCAGTTTTGCTTTCTTCTGAATTTTTGAATCTAGATTACTTCTATGTGTGTCAATGTTAGTGAGGTCAGTTCCAAATGCTCTTTTGTTCGATGTGGTCTTCCGTGGTGGGGGTACAGCAACTGTCACACCATTTTCTGTGTTCGGCATTGTGGCCCTACCCAACCAACGAAACGCAGGCTTTCTCGAGTCCCCTTGCTGTATCTGGAATCCACAGTTCAAGAATGTATGTTCAGAAACATGCTACCACAAGATTGCAACTTAATCGTCAGCAAGCATCGAAAGCGTACCTTCTCAATTAGATTCAGTGAAGACAGGACATTGGCAATGTCATATAACCTCCGAACTTTAGCTGCATTACCAATTAAATATCAAGATTAAATTAAGTTTTATTAGTCCTGATAGTGCTACTGCTGCACGTTTAGATAAAGACAAAATGAAGTACTGACTTCTCATATTGGTCTCTTCGTGACCTTCTCCAAGGAGCAGCTTTGCAGCTTCATCAAGTGAGATCGTGTCAACCTGCTCCAGGTATAGATTTCATATGAATGGACTGATCACGCATGAATCTTAAGGCAGAAATACAGAGTTTAAGAATTTCTCACCTCCATGGTGAGGAAGAGCTTCACGAAATTCTGTGTGAGCAACCCAAGTGATTTTTCCTTCCTATGATCTGAAAACGTAACAACCAAAATTCTGAGCCTGGCAGACAAAATGGAACAGCACATGTAACACATGCTAAATCAAAATGAAGCAAATAGCATAGCAATGTACCAGATCTAAGGCAGCAACGGGGTGCACCAGGTTTGTCAGAAGGATTGTCCACAGTCTGACTCAGTTTCTTGTTCTCGATATCAGCACCCAGATTGACCAATGTATCATCATCTTCATCATCAGAAATCTTCGCAAAAGAACACAGGAGAAGAACCACTTCAGTTAGGAACTAATCCCTCTGTCCATAAAAGAACACAATTCTAGCATATTACCAAGGCCATGTTTAGTTCCCCCAAATTCCTGAATTTCACACTATGCAAAAAGAAGATTCCCCGTCACATCAAACTTGCGGTACATGCATGGAGTACTAAATGTAGACGAAATCAAAAACTAATTGCACAGTTTGATTGTACTTTGCGAGACGAACGTTTTGAGCCTAATAAGTCAATGTTTGGACAATTATTACCAAATACAAACGAAATTGCTACAGTGTTCGCCGTCACATCGAACACTGTGCAAACGCCGATTCGGCAGCGAACTAAACGCGGCCCAAGTCAAATCATTTTAAGTTTGACCAAATGTATAAAAAAACATCAATGTTTATGATACTAAATAAGTGTCATTAGATTCATCATAGAACATATTTTCGTAGTATACCTAAGGTCCCGGGTTCGAGTCGCGGTCTCCTCGCATTGCACAGGCGAGGGTAAGGCTTGCCACTAACACCCTTCCCCAGACCCCGCACAGAGCGGGAGCTCTCTGCACTGGGTACGCCCTTTTTTATTCTATAAATTTGGTCAAATTTTAGATAGTTTGACTAGAGACAGACCTAGAACTGCATTTTTTTCAGGACGAAGGCAGTAAAAATTGTTGTGGACCAGAATCAGATACATCGGTTCAGATGGAAGGGAAAGATACGAAGTTGTACAGTGGCAGCTGATTGCTGCTCGGTTTGCAGAGGAGCCAAACCAGACTTCTCCCTTAACGCCCTCTCCTGAGAAGACAAGAGAAATGACGGGTTAGATGGATGAGATCTACAATTCTTGATCGAAATATCACGCAGGAGACTAGACGCAGACCTTGAGTTCTCGCAAGGCCATTGGGACTCCGCCGAAACCTATCCAGGTGTAGCGATTCTTGGCTTTCCTCACAAGAATCTTCTCACAAGGGGAATTGAATCAGAACTAGAATCATACTTCATATCCCGAACAGACCGCACAAGAAATCAAGAATTGTGTCCCGGAAAGGCAGAAGAAGAAAGAAAGAACTAACCCCAACGCTCTCGAGCACGTTGACAATGTCGTAGATCCGGCGCCTCTCCACACCGAGGCATTTGGCCGCTTCGTCCAGCCCGATGGACTCCACGTCGTCGCGGTTGTAGAGAACCACGAAGCTAAAAGCAGCACGGAGAATTGGGTCAGAACAGCAAGGAGAACTCAGTAGCTACCAATCTCCAGACGCGTCGAGGCTGCAAGAGGCTCACTTGGAGCAGAGGAGGCCGAGCGACTTGTCCTTGCGGCTGTACGCGTGGTGGCGGCCATTGGCGCCACCGCCGCCGCTCCCCGCGTGCATCGGCCGCGGCCGCGGTCGCGCCTGCTGCTGATGCTGCTGCTCCTGTGTCAAAGCTGACGCCATTGCCGCCGCCGCAGCAGCGGCCACCGCTACCTCGGCGACGGAAGAGGAGGACGCTGCCATCACCGTCGCCGATCCGCGTGAGGTGCCCGCGAGGATTTTGCAGGATTTGTGTTCGCGTGGTGCGGTGGAGCCGAGAGGAGGGAATTCCTGGAAGTTACGGATCTGACTTGTAGGAGGGAGAAGGGAGGAGGTAGGAGGCGCGGCGCCGGCCGTCGAATGGAATCTGGAGGGCTTGATTTGGCGCGGTGGTGGCGGCCTCGCCCGCGTTTCAAAATTTTCTCTGTCCGCTCCCGTGCGGATGCGGCCGTTTCGCCTGAGGTCGGCTCGGCGTGGCTCGCAGGCGCAAGGTGGGGAAGGGTGAGCCGTGCCCGTGCGTGTGAGGGCTTTGCCTTGGCCAGTTTGAATTGAAATTTAAGCGGCTCACGCGCGCGGGTGAGCCGAGGAGAGGAGCGGGTGCCCGGCCCGGGCCGGGCCGGCGGTGCCTGTGCGCGGAAGCGACAGTCGGATTCGGAGGTTTTTTGCGCGGTTGGGCGATTTTCTTCGGCTCATCGCGGCGGGCGCGCGCGTCTCGAGGGGATCTCGTTTAGGGGAACGGCACGTGAAGGAGGCGTTGTGGCGCGGAGGGAACAGGTGTGCCACGTGAGCTCGTGAGTCCTGACGGTTGGCTGTTTGGCTTCAGTGATCCGCGCCGTCGCGCGCCCTTGCGCCAAATCGCCTAGGGAAAAAGATTTCCCGTCACATCAAATTTGCGGTACATGCATAAAGTATTAAATATAGACAAAATCAAAAACTAATTGTACAATTTAATTGTACTTTGCGAGACGAATCTTTTGAGCCTAATTAATCATTGTTCGACAATAATTCACAGATACAAACGAAATACTACAGTGATGAATCTTGCACTGTACAAACTTTGCACTTCCCAAATTTAGCCAACTAAACGAGGCCTACATGTGATTTAGATAGGATGGGTTTGGTCGTTAGATTTACATGGATGAGATGCAACCATCCATGGATTAACAGTGTTTGCATTGATAGATCGCTGGATGCGAAAATCCCTGGATATGGAATATACCGAGACGTTGGATTTTCTGGTTCGTAAAAATCTCGTGGATTAGCTTATCCAAGTCTTCTAATCTCTGTCATTACTGAATAAATTAAAGATTATTAGTAAGTTATATTATTACTTACTAATTATGATGGTAGGATTAGTTTTGATAAGTGCTAATATGTTGATTAGTACATGTTTCAGATGCTAATTAGGATATTAGTGGTACTAATTAACATATTTTATTTTAAATTAGTGATTATCATGATAAAATTAGTATTAGTGCATATTTATCGGTGTCTAATTAATTGTTAATATTTTAAAATAATAGATATAATTAGTGAATTATTCTTATTCCATCCACTTTCATCTATCCAACCAAACAGAAAACTGGCTCATCCTATCAATTCAACCAAATATGCATCATGTATATCTTTATCACAATATCCATAGATCGTCGTATCCCATCCAGCTTCGTCCTCGAACCAAACGCACCCACAATGAGTTGCGACGTCCTCTACGAACGAATCGCAGTACTACACTACTACAGGGTCTACAGCCCTGTCATAGAGCCTGTTGCGGGGTTCAAAAAATAAAGATTAGTTAAATTAGTTAAGATTAACTAGTTAGTTGGTTAACAACTATTTAAAAAATGACTAAAATTGACTAAAAATTAGTCTTCTTATTAAGATCAGCAGGGCTAGCGCTGGGACATCTGGACGAACGGCACGTCCGAACCAAAGTTATTAGGACCGGACCGGAGATTGAACCGACAAGGACATCGGTTCACTGGTCCAACCGTTTAGAACCGGTTGAACCGCCGGTTCAATTGTTTTAGACTGGACAAATTTAACCGGCCACAGTTACTTTGAACCGGTACTATAATTAATAATTGACAGACGATAAATAAACAACATAAATTTAATTGCACAAGTTTTTAGATTCAAAACAAAAGTGCATGATAACTGATAAGAAATGCAGCTCATCTGTTACTATTTTAGCCATGTAGTGGAAAACTTAAAAATCAATCCAAAATTAATCAAATCTGGAGAAAAGAGATGCCTAATAACTAATATACTCTAACATGAACACGAGCTTCATATATTTATGAATCTTCACATTAACGGATCATAGATGCCTAATTTAATCTTAACCTAGGCTCACCATTAGCCATGTCGCGAAGTTCTGGCATGGTCGTCTGGAACTGGAGAACAGCAGGGAAGCGCCTGCAGGCCTGGAGTGGTGGAGCCTAGAGCAGAGTAGCAGATAGCAAGGTCAGCAGCTGCGACGCCGGCCGCCGGTTCTTGACGACGCGAAGCTCGACTTCCCATGCCGCCGCCTGTGTGCGGCCGTTGTCAGCCGCCCGCCGCTACCACTGCAACCGCCCGTTGCCTGCCACGGCCACGCCGACCCGCGCGTAGCTGCTTGCTGATGCTCTTGCCGTCGCCTGCTAGACGCTGCATGGAGCAGAAGCGTCACGCCGCCGCCGAGAACACGAAAAGGCATTTTTTTCCTCCCACTCGGCCACTCCTAGTAGCAAAACAACCCTAAAGAGGCATTTAGAGCCAATTTCCAATAATACCCCTAACTAGATAAGGTCGTCCTGAGTGCACCGAGGGGTAATTTTGGAAAAACCCAAAAACTCACCGGTTCGTATGGAAATCGGCCGGTTCACCGGTTCCGTAAAAAACCGGCCGGTTCAACCGGTTTTTAGTGGTTCAATTGCACAGACGGTCTTTTAGGTGAACCGGACCGGTCTATGCTCTGGTTTGGTGTTTTAGCGGTCGAACCGCCGGTCCGGTCCGGTCCTAATAACTAGGGTCCAAACGCACCACCCACAACCCGTCCAAAACACGAAAATGAGCCCCGCTCACGTCCATCCCGCGGTAGCGCGCCTTGCCCACATCCATCCACAATTCCATGCCTCGCCCTATCTGGACGTTGCACCACCGTCCGCATCGCATCACTCCCTAGTCCTGCGTCCCATCCCGCTCCAGCGCCGCCGAACTCCGCATCCAAGTCGAGTTCAAACTGTCGCGGCTTGGTGGAGGGGAGGAAGAGGAGAGGGCGAGGCGTGCCGCATGAGTGTAGGGTCGAGATGACGACTAGAGGGGGGGTGAATAGTTGTTACTAAAATTAATCACGTCGGCTAACCGAAACAATTGTGAAATTAAAATAATCGGTCTAGCCAAGACTACACCCATCTATCGAAGTTCACAATCACCTTATAAAGATCCTAATTAGGTAACTAAGGTGCCGGGCTAGCTAAAGCTCACCTAATCAATTCTAGAAGCAAGGTCACACAAACCTATGCCGCTAGTACTTTAAGCAACGAGGAGCTTCTACACAATTCTAGTAAGCAAAAGCTCTAAGCTTCTAAGCTCACTAGCAATGCTCAATAACAAGGCAACCAATGCCAAATTAGAGAGCACAAATACTTAGCTACACAAACTAAGCAATATGACTAACAATATTGCACAAAACCAAATTAGCCACGCAAGAGAGCTACTTCTATGCCACATAAGCAAGAAGGTAATTAGTGAGCTACACAAGCTAACTAATTACAAGAGCAACTATACAAGCACAATGTATATGAAAGTAACAACAAGCTTGTGTAAGGGAATTGCAAACCAACGGCAAAAATAAGGTTGATAAGGTGATTTTCTCCCGAGGTTCACGTGCTTACCAACACGCTATGTCCCCGTTATGTCGACCGCTCACTTCGTGGTTCGGCGGCTAATTGTCATCACCCGCCAAGCCCGCATGTCGGGCACTGCAAGAACCTACCCCAAAAGTAAGGGTAGCTCAATGACACGCTCAACTAGAGTTGCTCTTCGTGGCTCCCGCGAGGCGAGCACAATGCCCCTCACAAATCTCTTCTCCGGAGCATCGCACAAGCTTCTTGCGGGCTTCGACGGAGACCACCACCACGGCGTCTAGGAGGTGGCAACCTTCAAGAGTAACAAGCACCACCGGCTTGCAAGACGACCATCTAGTGCCACTCGATGCAACATCACGACGTAATCGCACTAGAATCACTCACTCACTCAATCGGATGAACACTATCAAATTAGAGTGAGTTAGAGGACTCCTAAGTACTACCACACAAGCCACCAAGGTTCTAGTGTGCTCAGCTCTACCAAGCTACTGGCTAAAAACCCACCAACACTTCTATTTATAGCCCCCACAAAAATAGAGCTGTTGTACCCCTTCATTGGACACAGCTCGGGGTGACCGGACGTTCCGGTTAGATCGACCTGATGCACCCTACCAGCGTCTGGTCAACGGATGGCTGCCACGTCATCCCTGGCTTCAAATATTGAGTGCCTGATCTCAACGGTTAAGTTGCGACCGGACGCAGCACAGTGTATGACCGGACATAGGACCCCAGTGTCCGGTTACTTCCAGTAAGGTTCCTCTCGCGACCGGGCGCGTCAGTTTGAGCACGACCGAACGTAGGACCCCAGCATTCGATCACTTCCAGTAAGGTTCTAGAGACACTCAACTGCGACCAGACACGTTCGATTGGTCACGATCGGACGCAGCATCAGCATCCGGTCCTTCTCCTCTTCTCTGTGTTGCCACGTCAGCGGGACCGGACGCACCCACCCAGCGTCCGGTCAAAGACCGACGCCTGCGCCTTCACTGCTGCCACTAACCGGACACAGGACCCCAGCGTCCGGTCACTACATGACCAACGTTCGGTGTACTCTATGAAACCCTGTCTTTTCTGTGCAGGGCGCTGGTGAAGTTTCGAACCCTTGCTCCCAAGTGCTAAACACAATGTGTGTCACCTTTGTGCATGTATGTTAGCATATTTTCACAAACATTTTCAAGGGATTAGCCACTAAACTTGCCACGCCACTCGATCCTAGCAACGATGCAAAGTTAGATCACTCGAGTGGCACTAGATGACTGATATGCAAACAAGTTTGCTCCTCTTGATAGTACGGCCATCTATACTAAATCCGGTCATTAATTTCTCTACACACCTATGATCGGTGATATGAAA